TGGCAGAACGAGCCGTATAAAAGCGTCTCAAAATGCGGGAGAGAAAACGGGCAGAAACTTTCCCCCCTGCCTGGGAACACCAGAACGCGGAGTCCTTGGTTGGGACCTCGTTGCAGCCAGTCCCGGGGGTTGGTCCCCTTCGCCAGGGCCTGCCCGATCTGTGGAACTCGCTGCCACGAGAAGCGGTAATGGTGGCCCATGGCTTCGGTGGATTGGAAAGACGGTTGGATTTCATTGAAGGGGTAGATGAGGCTCTATGGCTGGCTGGTAGCCGAGCTGGTCCTTGTTGGAAGGCCTCTGACTGAAGAATTCTGGGGGACCAGCCGGAAGGGGGGTTAGGCTATTGCGGGGGGGGGGGCTTCCCTGAGTCATCTGCGTGGCTCCTGTTGGGAAGGGGATTCTGGAATGGTCATTTCGAGGACGGCGACCCTCCTCTTCTTATAACAAGGCGGTGGGGGCTGATTTTGGCTTCCCCAACCGCCTTCTGGGCCAGGACCTGCTGGGAGGTGCCAGTTCTATTCCCCAGGGGTGGAGGGGCCTTTGCACCCTCTTCGAACACCCACCCACCTCTAGGTTACACCCAGGCCAGCCTGTTTTGCCTCCTCAGGTATGCTTTCTTGCGGCCCAGCCCCAGAATTTTGTACTTCCTGTAAAATTAGGACTGTGTAAACAGAGCGCCGGGAGCTGCGGTGGCTCAAGTGGTTAAGACGCTGAACTGCAGGCTGTGGAAGGTCGGTAGTTCAGCAGTTCGAGACCCGAGTTAACATAAGAACACAAGAGACGCCAATGTTGGATCAGGCCAAAGGCCCATCCAGTCCGACACTCTGTGTCACACCGTGGCCAGAAATACCAGGTGCCATGAGGAGGTCTGCCAGTGGGGCCAGGACACTAGAAGCCCTCCCACTGTTCCCCCCCCCCCCCAAACACAAAAAAAACAGAAGAGCACCTGCCCAGAGCCCCTATCTATGCCTTGTGGCTAATAGCTACCGCATGACGGAGTGAGCTCCCATCTCTAGTTCTAGCTCCTGCCAACCCAGCAGTTTGAAAGCAAGAAATTGCAAGTAGATAAATAGGGACCACAGCGTTCCGTGCGCCTTGGTGTTTAGTCATGCCAGCCACATGACCATGGAAATGTCTTTGGACAGCGCTGGCTCTTTGGCTTGGAAACGAAGATGAGCACTGTAACCCTAGAGTCGGACTCGACTGGCTTTCGAGCAAGGGGACCTTTACCTTTACTTAAACAGGGCTCCAGGAGTGTGTTATGCATTCTTTCCGTATTGTGACTCAAAAGGGAGAAACCACCTCCCTGCCGGGGCCTTTGGGTCCCCCCATCCCCTTCAACCCATGCCCCAGTTTCCTTTCAGCACCTGTGACCCTCTTCCTTGCTTCTGGGGCTGCGCGTGGATTGTCCTCCCACAAATAGGACTTCTTTGATCTGTGTGAACACTGCTGAGGATAATAAAGTGCCTATTTCCAGGAAGGTTATAGTAGTAGAGAAGGCAACTTCCTGTTGTACCATCCAAACTTTTCCATGGGGGGGGGATCAGGCTGGGGTGGGGAGCAGAGGGAGTTCTTGCAGGGCTGTGGGGTGGGGGAAAGGACACTGCATTCCCTCCTGCTGGGTCCTGGAACTCCTTCTGTGGCTGTCTAAGTCCTGACCCCAGAGAAGCCACCTAAAACCTTTTATCCAGACCAATACCCTGAAAAACTGGGCAAAATTTTGAGCTCATGATGAGAGGTTTTCATCAGGATGAATGTTAAAAAAAAGATGCGAGGGAGGGGGCAGATGCTCCAGGCCATGATCCCGTGGGCCAACATCCTGTGTGGGACAGGTTCTTTGGGGGCTTCAATGGGTGTGGCCGGTGTCTCTCTGAGGGTGAGAGGAGAAAGAAGCAAACAACAGAGGCTGTGGTACTGGAAACTTCAGGATAAAGGAAATGAAAGATATTCTCTGGCTTTTGTTGTGGGCCACTGTGGCTGCCTGTGCCTTTTGGGCAAGGAGAAGAGCTTGTTTTTTTTTTGAAGGGGAAGCTGGGTGTCAGAAGTGGTTTCCTGCTTCCTTCTGTTTGTAGCTGATCCTGCTCAAAAACGGCTGCTTGATCTCATGGGAGAGATCACAGAGGAGCTGGAAAGCCACAAACTATTGAAAGTGGAGGTGTATAGAGTTCAATCAGCTTTTGTGTCTTTTGAAGAAACCTCACAAAAAGCATTCTTTTAAAAATGGCTTTTGATAAAAAATAGGGGGAAGGTTTATCCGTGACTTGGCTTGCTGCAGAATTGTTTAAAACCCGTTCTGAAGCACCGCTTCCCCCAGCCTGGCAAGAACAGATCCATTAATCAGAAGGGAAGAAAAAGAGTCAGCTGACCTCGGAAGTCTCCACAGAGCTTTAGATAGGATGGTACGGCTACTGCAAGGGCGCTTCGTAGCCCTTGACTGGCAAGCAAGAGAGAAGGCAGCAAACAGGAGAAAAAGAGAACCTGTTTCCAATGGCACAGGAAGGAAGGGGGCATGCGAACCAAAGGCGAGGGGTGAAGGGACTCTTTCTGGGACGGAGAGCCAAGGCCTCAGCCCTGCCTTGCTAGGCCCTGCGCCGTGGATGCCCCATTGATCCTCCCTTTGGGCTGCGTGTCTCTTTCCCAGGCTGCAAAAGAAGCTTCCGGAGCCTCAGAGCAAGAGGCGGTTGACTGTGGGGGAGGGGGAGGAGCAAGCCAATGTGGAGATTTCCCCAGACCCAGGCCAGGGATTGGCCAAGGCCTGTGACACTCCTGCCCTTTCTCCTTCAGGGCCCCCCAACATGGTGCCTATTAAGAAAGTGGGTGGGGCTTTTGCCCAGCAAGGCTTCTGATTGGCCATTGGAGATTTGATTGGCTGCACAGATTTTTTTTAAAAAACCATTGCTTTGCCAGCTACTGCTACCTTGGCACAAGGATCTTCCCTGTGGGACTGAAGGAGTGCTGCAGCGGCCATTTTGTGTCTGCGTCCATCATGCTGTGTCAAAGTTCCAGAAGTGTCCAGAGGCTGAACAAGTCTGGGGACCCCTGTTCTACGTAAATACAAAATACCAGACAGTCCAGTGCACATACTGGATAGTCTGGTTCCAAACTGGACATCTGGCAGCCCTACAAAATGGGTCAAACCAGCAGATGCCCATTCTCTGTGGCGTCTCCCACATTACGGTACGTTCTGCCAGAGGCTATTTGTGGAGCTGCCCCCCCCTCCGGTGCTTCCTTCATTTTGCAGAATGGAGTTGTCCAGGAGGACATTCTTGGGCAAAGAGCCAACCTGCGGGGTGATGGTGTTCCGCTTAGGAGGGATGAAGTCTGTTCCACACCAATTGCCTCATTGCCTTTAAGAGGTATTTTTTGCTTGCATGGATCCCTGTTTAGTTCCTCCTGCATTTTACCACACTCATAGCCTGCCTCTAGCCCCTTTAAAAGGTGGACTATAAATAGGAATACTATTACTTCTAAGCATTACCTCCTAGGCCTCTCAGATATGCCCCTCCCTGCTCATTGTGGGGAGGCCTCTGTGCACGATGGGATACTTAATTCTGCCTTGATGCAGGTCCCATGGGAAATGCGCTCTCTTGCCTGGAAGCAGAGAAGGGGGTGCACCTTCCCTGGCTGTGGAGATGTTTATTGTGGGATAGCTCCAGTCCCTGAAGTGTGGATGATCCTCTCCCTTCCTGTGCTAAAAGAAAGCATATGCTAAAATAAATATGTAAAAGTACCTGCCCATCCATTCTGATTTTTGGGAGAGAGTCGTTGCCTTCTGCAGGAAAGTGGGTGGGCAACAGGACAGGGCCTTCTCAGTGGTGGCACCTCATTTACAGCCTGCCCTCCCTGTGGAGATTTGCTTAAAGGTAAAGGTTTCCCTTGCTCGAAAGCCAGTCGAGTCCGACTCTAGGGTTGCGGTGCTCATCTCCGTTTCCAAGCTGAAGAGCCAGCGCTGTCCAAAGACTTCTCTGTGGTCATGTGGCCGGGCATGACTAAACACCAAGGCACACGGAACGCTGTTCCCTTCCCACTGAAGTGTCTTCAGTGTGTTCACACTTAGGTGTTCACTAAGTGAAAATTCTCCCTTCTGTCTTGGCCTTGGGCTGATTTTTAAAAATGGTTTCCCCAGTTTCAGACATCTTATTATTTGCAGAGTATGGTTTTCAAGAGTAGGGTGGTTTTATCTGATTTTTGTGTCTGATTCTGAATGTTTTGTGCCTGTTCAGGAGGGCCTTCTTATAAAAGGTGTTGGGATGCAGTAAAATGGAATTGTTTGGGAAGGTGCTTTTTTAAAATAAAGGGAACGGGATTGTAGCTTGTCTGTGGAGAAACTGTAGACAGTCCCCACTCCCTTTTTCTTTCTCCCCCTCTTATTGATTAGTTTTTTAGGTGATCATATATTTCGTTGTTTCTGTAATGGGAGAATCCAGTGTCATTGCATTGTTTATTCAATATGTTTTATTGGCCTTTCTTGATTAGTTTTGTCATTCTGTGATCCTTCTCGAATCTGAGCACAAAGGACGGGTGATCGATTAAATAAATACCAAGCCTCTGCTGGGGACTTGTTTCACTTCATGCAGGCCTCCTGTTTTCTTAAATTTGTGGAATCTGGAAGTTCTGTCTGTTTCAGACCCTACTTCTGATGATTAGAAGTAACTCTGAATTATCCTAAAACAACACAATATCTCCTTTTTTTGGGGGGGGGTGACGGCTTAAATAACAAATGTGTTTGTGGTGCCTGCAAATCCTTCTCCGATTCCTGTGGAGATGCACCATTTGTTTGGATAAAATGAATGCACACAAAGTTGACCATTTCAAAAATACACCACCCAGTCTTTCTCTGACAATTTATAACCATTTTAATGTCCTCACAATAAAGAAGGTTAGATTTGATTAGACAGTCAGTGCTGTGTTGACTTAAATTCCACTACCTCATTTACTTATTTAGTTTCTACTGCACCTTTCTCATTTAGATTCAAAGTGAATTACAGGATTTTAAAAATAATGGAATAGAAACGTGTAACAAACAGAGCAGTGATTCCCCCCCACCCATATAAGGCAAAGAAAAAAACAGAAAACTGCAAAAGTCCTCACAAATTTCTGGCTCATTTTACCTTTCTGAATATCATCTGGAGAAAACACAAAAATCCTGGAAGCCTCCTGGCAGTTCTAGATTATTTGGGATGCTCCGTCTGTTTTTTCCTAACGGTTTCAGTGTCTGTGCATGAGTGACCCCTCAGGTCTTTGCCCCACGGGGTGGTAAACCTACAGTTCCCCACATCAGGACATTGGTGTCTGTCCAAGGGCCTTCTTTTGAGTGGGACGGTTTGTGGGGGGCTTTGCTGCAGAACTCAGACTTTGGCCTGAGCCCCCAATCTCCTGACTCTGGCCTTGTTCTTTTTTTGGGGGTGGTGGTGGTGACATTTCTAAGAACGTCTTTGTTCTGGGACCATTTCCTACAAAGGATTCTCCAGATCTCTCCCCCTGCCCAAGAGTTTATGCTTTGGGGAATTTTCTTCTTGGGGGCTTCTGCAGGCCCATCCAGGGAGATCTCTTTTTATATAGTAGATGTTTGTATGTAGGTGTGTTAAACATTTTAAATAGTTTTCTATGGTATTTCTTCTACGGGGTCACCCAGACAGGCACTGCCAGTGATCACAAGGGTGCTGTTCTGTTTTCTTCTGAAGAGACCAGTCTCTGCAGTCCAGCTCTGGGTTAGGGACATTCCTGGGGATTTTGGGGTGGGCTGAAGCCTGGAGAGGGCAGAGGGAGGGGGAGGAGCTCAGGGGCGGTGTAAGGCCACAGACCCCGCCCTCCCCGGGAGCCATTTTTCTCCAGGGGAGCTGATACCTCTGAAGTCTGGGGAGAAGGGGTGCTTCTGAGAGATGTCTGGGTCCCACCTGGAAGTTGGCAGCCCTCAGCTGCATCTGGTCCCCTTCCTCTGTTGTCCCCTCCACTTCTCTTTCCTCTCCTCTCTCCTCAGGTTCTCAACCCCCTCCCCCTTCCTCAGGGTCCCTCGCCCCCATTGTGTTTCCCTCTCCTCTTTCACCCCCCCCACCGCCACTTGGCCTGGGTCTCTGGGCAGGGGTGTGGGGCTGCCCTTCCTCACTGACAGCCCCCTTAACTCTTCCCCCCCCCGCCAGGCTCCTCGCACTCCATGCGCTACTTCCACACGGCGGTGTCTGAGCCCGGCCCGGGGCTGCCCCAGTTCATCGCTGTGGGCTACGTGGACGACCAGCCCATCGATCGCTATGACAGCATCACAAAGAAGGATATACCTCAGGTCTCATGGATGGAAGAGTTTGGGAACGATAATCCCAAATACTGGGAGACGGAGACCCAGAAGAGACAGGGCTGGGAGTCTATATCCAGAGTGGACCTGGTGACGCTGCGGAAGCGCTTCAAGCAGCAGAACAGCACAGGTGAGTGGAGGGGGAGGGGCCGGCCGGAGACCCTCCCCCCGTCCCTCCCTCCCTCCCTCCCTCCCCCCCCCGGGCCAGAGAAGGGAGGGGAAGGGGCTGCGCCTCGGGAGGGGGGGAAGGAGGGAAGAGAAGCAGCAGCCCCCCCTCCCCAGTTAGAGCAGGTATGGGGGGGAGTGAGGCATATGTGGCTGTTATCAGGGGAGGGGAATCCCCACAACAAGGGGGGGTGAAACAAATGGGGCAGTCCCCTCCCCCTTTTCTCCTGTCGGTGGTGTGGGGGGGCCCTGCTGCCTGATGGAAGAAAGGAGGACTTTGTGTGTGTGTGTGTGTGGGGGGCTGCTTCTCCCTGGAGAGGAGCTCCTTTTTTTAAACTTCAGAAATTCACATGTCCGTACTAGCTGATTTGTTTTCAGTCCCCTTCCTAATAATCCCCAGCACAGCACAGCGTTTGCCTTTTTTATTGCAGTCGCACACTGAAGCAACATCTTCAGTGGGTTATCTACTACAACTCCAAGACCTCTCTCCTGGGTCAGTTAACACCAGTTCAGACTCCATCAACATATATTTATAGTCAGGAGTTTTGGCTCCAGTATGCATCACTTTGCACCTGCCCACACTGAACCTCATTTGGCATGCTGATGCCCACTCACCCAGCCTCAACAGATACCTCTGGAGAGCCTCACAGTCCTCCCTGCTTCTCACACCCTGAACAACTTCATGTCATCCACAAACCTGGCAACTTCACTGCTTACTCCCAACTCCAAATCTTTAAACAAGTTAAAAAGCATTGGACCTAGTACCAAGTCCTGCCGCACCTTACTGCTTACTACCTTCCACTGTGAAAACTGCCCATTTATACTCGCTCTCTCTTTCCTGTTAATTAACCAGTTTTTTTAATACACAAGAGGATTTGTTCTCTTATCCCATGACTCTTAGTAATCTTTGATGAGGAACTTTATCAAAAGTGACCCCCCCACCAAGGCCATTCCCTCCCCCCGGCATCCACCGGTCCCACCCCACTCAGCTTCATTGGATGCTGGGCCCTGCGTCCTCCAACCGAGCCCTGCCGGGGCCCTAAGGAGAGCCCCCCCTCCCAGGCCCCTCTGAAGGGCTGTTGCCTTGAAGGAACACCAGGAGCCCTTCTCGTCAGCCCCTCCCCCTTTTTCAAGAAAGGGCAACCTATGTGATCTCCCCCTCCCCACCCCCCACAACAGCAACAGGGCTTTGTTCCCTGGTGACACGGCGGGATCGTCCCTCTGGAGCAGCAGTTTGAACACTTACTGGACTTTCTGCACACAAGAACATAGGAACATAAGAGATGCCAGTGTTGGGTCAGGCCAATGGCCCATCCAGTCCAACACTCTGTGTCACACAGTGGCCAGAAATACCAGGTGCCCCACTCAGGAGGTCCAGCAGTGGGGCCAGGACATTAGAAGCCCTCCCACTGTTGCCCCCACCCGCAAGCACCAAGAAGACAGAGCATCACTTGCCCCAGAGCCCCTATCTATACCTTGTGGCTAATAACCACTGATGGACCTCTGCTCCATATGCCTATCCAATTCCCTTTTGAAGCCGTCCATGCTTGTAGCCGCCACCACTTCCTGTGGCAGTGAATTCCATGTGTTAATCACTCTTTTAGGGGCCTCTGTTCCCTTGATAGTTATCTACACAGTTGTGACTGCATGCTTCTATGACTATGATGTCCTCTTTGCTGTTCTAAGAATTACCATCAGACATACGGTTTGTTCTTTCTTAATTCAGCATATACAGATTCCTATTTTGTCATACAGTTGTTCATAGAATCATAGAACATTAGAGTGGGAAGGGACCTTGCAGGTCATCTAGTCCAACCCCCCCTGCACTCTGCAGGAGCACAGCCAAATCGTATACATTGGTATACAGTGTTAGTTATTTCTCCTGTCCCCTCCCTGGGCCAGCAACAGAGCCCCGGCAGAGAGAAGGCAGAAGGGGGGCCGTGCGAGCAGCTGGAACGGGGCTCCGGCAGGGGCAGGTGGCAACTGGGAGGCCGGGGGAAATGGGCACACACACCCCAAGGGGGGGCAGGGTGGTGCTCCTGAGGCCCCTGTGGGTGAGGGTTCCCATCCCCCTGCGAGGAAGGGCTCTTGCCAGAGAGAAGACAGAGACTCCCAAGTGAAACGGGGAAGAACCAGGGCTGTGCAGCCGGCACCCGGGGCAGAAAGGAAGAGCCCGGAAAGAGCCAGGCAGCATCCCCCAGGGCGGGCAGGCGGGCCCCAGAAGGCCCTTTCACCTTGAGCGGAGGGGTGGTCGGCTGGTGCCCCTTCCCTCGGGGGGGGGGGGAACAGAGGCACAGGGGGGGCTTCTTTTGGCCCATCCCCTTCCCCAGAGGGACAAAACCCAGGTGCCAGTTAACATCTTCCAGTATCTCAAAGGAGCCTGCCAGAAAGAATGCTTCGGTATCAAGGGGTTCGCTTTTGGCTTCCCGCGTTCTCCTCGCCTCTCTTTTATCCACACAACAACCCTGTGAGGTAGGCTAAGCCGGTAGTGCGTGGCTGGCCCAAGGTCACCTGGCAAACTTCCATGGGGAGAGTGGGGCGAGGGGTGTGTGTCGAACCTGGCTTCCCCAGATCCTGCCCCCTCCCCACAGGACTGCCATGGCTACGCTGCATCAGATGCTCTCCTTGCTCACAATGGCCAAGTCCCCTCAGCCGCTGGGCCTTCCCGCTTTCTCAGCACGTGAACAGGGAATGAGACGGTGGTCGTAGGGGGTGGGATTCAAGGAAGGGAACCCCCGCCCCATGACAGAACGGTGCCTGCCCCACAGTTCCACAGGCAGTCTCTCTTGTGTGGGGGACCTTGTTTTCTGCAGACTGGAGACCAGCTGGGACTTCCTGGAACCCTCTTCGGGAGGACCAGTGCCGGGACGTGTCGGCTTCCTGCCTCTGGCTCTGTCCTCTGGGCAGCTGGGTTCGCGTCCAGGAGCCCCCCGAGAGATCAACCAGATTTTTTAATGAGCTTTCCAGAGTCAATCTCTCTGAGTGTTTGCTCTCAAAGACTAAAATGCTAGTGATGTTTGGGCCTTCATCGATCGGAGAGTTTCCATCTTAGGAAATCTCCTTCTTCGGTGGCATCAACTGGCACACCCACTACTTGGGGCACTGATCTTTGGTCACCTGCAAGTCCCTAGTGGCATTTGCAGCACAGAAGGATCTATAAAAAATATTTTATTCCTTATTTATTAAAATGTATCCCTTCTTTCCCTCATGCCGCAAAGTAGCTTACAAATCACAACTGAAAACGTGGCTTTTGTTGCATCTCCTGAAAATCCCTAAAGATGGCATGGCCCACCCCTCAGCCCCTCTGGGAGCCCCTTTTGCTGCGGCACGGGGGGGGGGAGTTGCTATAATGGAGAAGCCCCAGGTTGTGGTTGATGCCAGGCGAACAGCCTTTAATGGTGGAGCAGGCAGCAGGTTGCAGGCTGAGGAGCATAAGTAGGTGCAAGGGGATATTTGGGAGGAGGAGACCCTTCTTTAGGTAGGTGGGCTATGAAAAGCTTGGAGGGTCATAAACAGCACCCTGAATTGGACTCCGAAACAAACTGGCGGCCAACGCAGCTCTTGTAAAATAGGCCAGATATTCTTTCCCTGTCTTGCTCCTGACAGTAACTGCCTTGCTGCCTTCTGGATCAGCTGCAGTTCTCAGGGTTGTCTTCAAGGGCAGCCCAACGGAGAACGTATTATGGTAGCCCAGCTGTGTGAGTGAGGGCCCTTGGCCATTATAGTGGAATCGGAAATAAAAAATTCTTCATGACTGACACAACTTCCACCACTAGGTGGCAGCATATGATCACTTTTCATAAATGGACCCTTCAGAGCTCATGCAGAACAACCTTGAAAATACACTTTATGAATCATGTTGATTTCGAGTTAACCGCTAGCAAAACCACACATTACGTATTTTCCTTCAAAAATCGCAATACCTGGCATTTACTTGTGGACAGTTCATTTGTTTAAAAATCCAAGAGAAAGGACTGTGAATTCATCTTTAAAATACCTCTGGGCACCAAGGTGCTGTTTATTAGTTAATGGGCAAAACTAGTCTTGACATTTTAGCCAAAAGCACAAGCAGATTTTGGTTTGGGGACGTGGTTGACGTTGACCGTCCTCACAGAGTACATCGTCCCCTCCTCCCAGAAAAACTCAGACTGAAAGTGAAATCTCTGGTTTCTAGCAAATCATAGTCTGTTGTTTTGCTGCAAAAGAGGTTGTGGTTTCCTCCTAGAAAGTGGGGGAAAGTATAATCTCAAAAATCTCCATGGATCATTGCCCTAAAAATAAACAGTAGACAGAAGGAAAAAAAAATCCCTGTCTGTTCAAAGGTGGAGTGCACACACACCCCTTCCAGGGGAAACTGGCCTGAATTACAACATGGTTTCTAGTCATCCCGGTGCTGGGGAAAGGTGTCCTACTCTGATATTAGTTTGTGCACACAAATGCCAAAGAATTAAAGTCAGGTCAAATAGCTTCTTTAGCTTTTTGATCTCCCCCTGGCCAACAGCGGGTGTCTGGGAGACACACGCACTCACATTCCCACTCCCAAATTTTGGGGAAGCCGGAGGCTGAGGGGGGCCAGGCAGGAGGAAGAGAGGGATGCTCCGAAGGAAGATTTCGCCACAGGCAGCTGCTCTCCCCCCCCCCCCCCGCTTGCCTGAGCCACCAACATCTTGGCAGGGCCGAGGGGAGGGGGAGGGAACTCTGGGTGGGCCCCTGGACTCCCCTGCTGCAGTTGGCAAGGGGGGGCAGCCTCTTCGGCCTTCAGGTGTGTCCTCATCCCCTTCTCTGGCAATGAGATGGCTGACACCATTTTTTTAAAAGTTTGATTTAAAAAATAATAATTAAAAGACAAACATAAATACACGTCACATCGGTTACAGGAAGCCCATGTTGGTTTGTTGCAAAATCCCAGAACAAAAACCACCCAACGCCTCTCATTACGACCCACCCCAGTGACACCAAATAGCA